CACGGGAATAACGAGAGCCTAAGTAAAAGATCATTGGAGGGCTTTATTATTACATCATCTTCCTCCTTCATTTTCTTTCTCTATATCTATAGGAATGTTACATCCATGTATAAGCTTTGAAAAGCTTAGAATTGGAGGCCCTAGCCTTCGATTTTGAGTGTGCCCATGAAGGCAAAGTTGTTCCCCTCCTTTTTCTTTACACAACCATGGTGAGAAATTAGAGATTTTACCATTTTAGAAATTTTAAAATTTTTATAGTTTGGATTCAGAGTGAGGGCTAGTTAGAGAAGTTGTAAAGTATCTTTTGATCTACAACATGAGGTGATTTTATAGGCCATTGGAGACCTTTGGGATTTCGGCCTAGGCAAGGGCTTGAGTTTTTGGGATTATTTCAAGAGAAAATCATGTCCTCCTTACCTTCCACTTCACATTGATGGTGGTAGACTCCATTTTGGAGAAGTTTCAAACCTTAGAGTAAGTTAGGGTTTTTCAACCTTGAGTAACTTGTCTAACTTATGTAATCCTAGGTTGTGGTAATCAATTTCTTGATTTCCACTTGATAGTATGCTTATTAAAGTATAATTTCAAGAAATTGTGTTCTAGGGTTTATAAATATGATCTTTATTTGCTTAATTATTGCTTGAATTAAATTTCATGCTCATTATATGTTGCAACACATGATGATTATGTTTTTGAGAATACTAGCATGAAAGACTATATGTACCATGTTGATTGTCTTATGTTATATAGGACTAGTTGAAGAGAATGTCTGTTCTTGTGATTGAAATTATGGTAACATGCTAATTACGTGATAACATGCTTAGATGGGACTATCTTGTATATTGAAGTTAAATGCTATATGGTTTGCTTGCCAATGTGAGTCCTTTGAAGATTTGTATGTAAAAGCATGTATATTATTCTAATTGCAATATTATATCGATGATAGAATGTATGGTTGTTCAAAGTTGTTTTATTTCATCCTAATGACATTTTACATGACATGGTGTGAGTTAGTAGAGCGGTGTGTGGGAAGTCGTTGGTGGAAATGAGTTCGTAAGGTTGTGGAGTAAATGTTTTTCTTAAAATTGGTATTGGGAAGATATCCCTTTAACGGCGGTACTAATTGGCTATAAGGACGGAAGGAGGTACCCGAAGTCCAGTTAATTAGTATCTTTTTAGCCTTGGTGCGCTGGAGTTGGTTGTGTGTGTGTGGTGTGGACCCATAATGCATGGTATTCATTTGATATTTGGAGCTTATTTGCGTGCTGAATGGTTGATTGGTGAATTAAAATCCCTTGCATGATCTTCCTTCATCTTTTTATGCTCTTATGTGTTATGTGTTATGCTTACTCGACTTGAGGAAATGCCATTTAGGCATTCTCTACTGAGCAGTGGTGCTCACCCCTTTTATATAACCATTTTTTAGGAAAGGAGTTACCCGGGATGACCTTTGAAGTTGATGACATGATTCGAGTCGTTGTAAATTCATTTTGGTATATATATATCTCAATGTATATTTGAAGGGTTTCAAACCCTAAGTTGTATTTCCTTTCTTTCAAGTTGTAAACTCATGTATTCGATATCTTGTATTATAAGGACATGATGTATAATGAGGCCATGCGGCCATTAAGTGTTGCTTCCATCTTGTTTTACACACATCCTTGGGATTTATCATTTTCATGTTTTTTAATCATGTCCATAGGGTGTTTAGGATGAGTTTTAGACTTACTTTGTGGCCATAGTTGATGCCAAGGAGGTCCCCAAGGTCTTAAGCACCCTAAACAGGGTTTTTAGGGCATTCTAATGCCCTCTGAGTTCTCCCAGGACAAGGGCCGAGCATTCCATATTCTGGCAGTGCACTGGTGGCTAATGCCGAGTGCTCGCAACCCCATTCCCGAGCACTCGCAGCCTCTGACTCTACTTTAGCATTGTTGCTACGACTTCAAACAGTGATATCTCCTTCGTTTTAACACCAAATTGGGTCATTCTTGAGTCCAAAATGACCGCGTCAAAATGCTATTTCCAATGGTGCAAATCTCACCCCATGATACCAAACATAGAATATTTATGTCCATTTTAGTGAAGAATAGTCATGTTTTTTTATATGTTGAGAAGTGTTAATTTGTTTCTAAACCATTTCTTTGGGGATTAGAACTCCATGGGAGGTTACCTTGTGTTTTGTATGACCTCTGTAGACCTATTAGGTACTTCACTTAGGTCAGTTTTGCCATGGTCATGTCAATGGACCAAATTACCCTTATAACTCTAAGTGGACAACTTTGAGGTCAGAGTTGATTCTTTTGCCCGTAATTGAATCAAGTTGATTTGTAATGACCATTATGACATTATTATAACCCTTAGTACATTGTATTGGTCAAAATGACCATTTTACCCCTGGGTGTTTAAGGATTGGTTAGCGATTCGGCTCCCGGGTTCGGGCTATTACATCGCCGCTATCTACAAGCTCCGAGTTCCCTTCACGTCACCGAAACACATTCCTCTTCCAAGAAAACCTAGTACAAGCAAGAAGTCAAAAAGCCTAGTAAAGTATCGTTCCGCCGGCGCTACCGTTGGCATCACCAAAAATTAGAATCTACGATTCCAGAACAAAAATCACGACTCGCTACCACAACTCTCCTCATCTATGCAAGCTTCAAGGAAAGAAAAATTCATTCTTGCCCAAGGTTTAGTCCGCCCCTCGCTGGCAAATTCAGTCTCTCGCCGGTTCAGTTTACTTCTCGCCGTTTTAGTTATTGCTATGATGAACACACAATGGTAGGTTGTTTTGGGGATAGAGACAGTAGTGGTAAGGGGTTTAGGGGTGAAGAGGGCTAGGGATTTGGTGGTGGGTTTGTGACTTTGAGGGAGAGACAATGGTAGCTTGTTTTATTTTGGGTTAGGGTTTGAGAGGGGAAAAAGAAGAAGAGAGTTATAAGAGAGAAAAATTGGATTTTTCAGATGGGTTGCCATTTACGCCTATTTGATCCAAGGGTATTTAAGTCAATCAAAAGGGTTGTATTGTTTAAAATGATAATTTAATCTGTCAAAGCGTAATATAGTCAATTCACCATTGTTAGGTGTCTTGTTAACTTTATAGGGGATGGATTTAGTCGAGTCCACATGGCTAGGCCACATTATCAACAATAGCCCATAAGTCAAACAGTCAACGGTCAAAGGTAAGTGGCATTTGCCACGACATTTGTATAACCCGAACAGAAGATCGATGACTTGACGACCTTAGTTGGGAGCAGGACTCAGGATGATCTGCGATCTGAGGAGGTACTTGATTTGGTGGCTGAAGTACAAGGTCCGTCTAGTCAACACTCGACCTGGCTTGTAGAGAGAAATACTATTTGACTCCCATACAATTAAACCATCTCATGTTAATGGGCCTATAGGTGATATCATCATAGACATCACCCAACCTCTCACCTGGCCTATAAAAGGAAATACTCCAAGGCCAATAAAGGTTGAGCAGAACGGGGAGGAAACAACCTCTAGACAGAGATAGCTCAGAAGCTCTTTCCCTCATGCTTTCCCCAAACACCTTTATCAAGGGAGTCAATAGTGTATCAATACACTGCCATTTTTATACTCTCTCTCGACCTTGCTTATACTTCCACCTCTCTCAATCCACCTCAGATCCTATGTTATCTGAATCATTCATATTTTGTGTTTTCATTATCACCTTTGCTACTTGTAGCACTATTGTAATAAAGAACCCCCACATTTTGGTAACTTCACTAGGGATGCGATCTATCCTCGAGTACTAAAACCTTAAGCGATCCGTCTTCAAGTACTAAAACCTCGAGCGATGCGATCCATCCTCGAGTACCAAAAGCTTGAGTGATCCATCCTCAAGTACAAAAAACCTTGAGCAAGGCGATCCATCCTCGAGTACCAAAACCTTGAGCGATCCGTCCTCAAGTACAAATATCTCGAGTGATGCAATCCATCCTCGAGTACCAAAACCTTGAGCGATCTGTCCTCAAGTACCAAAAACCTCGAGCGATATGATCCATCATCGAGTACTAAAACCTTGAGCGATCCGTTCTCAAGTACAAAAAACCTCGAGCGATGCGATCCATCCTCGAGTACCAAAACCTCAAGTGATTTATCCTTAAGTACAAAAAAACCTCGAGCGATGCGATTCATCCTCGAGTACTAAAACCTCGAGCGATCCGTCTTTAAGTACTAAAACCTCGAGTGATGTGATCCATCCTCAAGTACCAAAACCTTGAGCGATCCGTCCTCAAGTATAAAAAAACATCGAGCGATGTGATTCATCCTCGAGTTCTAAAACCTTGAGCGATCCGTTGATCAACGGTCGAAATCAATTATAAATCAACCCTCTTCACAATAGCACGAATCATTGTAACATAGGGCTATTGGACGGGTAAGTCGAACCACTGGGACTGCGCTAGTCTTAAGGCAACCTAAGTATCTAAAGTCATTTTAGAGTGATGAGGGGTTTATAAAGGGTTTGTGTGTTTGTCACTAAACTAAGAAATTAAAATGCATAAAACAATAAATTGCAATGAAATTGAAGAAGTGAGATACAAGTAAAAAAGACTAGGGAGATGAATTCACTCCAACCCTATACACATACTAGATTAAGATTAAATTGGGGAAAAACAACACAAATGATGGTCATGATACATGGCAACACTTGGTTGCTATAGTATTTTCAAGAAGTTCATTAAATCAACAACAAGAATAATCCATCAAAGGTTCACATACTCAAGCCACCTAAACTAGGGTGTAGCCTTCACATGCTCCCTAAGCCCAAGATTATCAAGTCCTTAATGGAATGATGAAAGCACATAAAATTAGGAATTAAGCATAGACCATCAAAGGGGGATCCTAAGCAATGGACTATCTAAGTTCTCCAACTTCATGTCAATAAAACCATTTCATGATCTAACTTCCATTGTCACTATGAAAGTGTAAGCATTATGATTAAGAGAAGCAATCATCTAAAACAAGAGGAATAACTCAAAATAATCATGTATAGATATTAAAGTTCATTACAAAAAATATGATGCTCTAGATCATAAAATAACCAAAAACTATACATTGTTCTCCCCAAAATAAAATCTACACTAGCACATGCTTACAAGGGAGGAGCTTCATCACCTCCCTAGAGAAGATTTAGTTACCCATAGGAGCAATGGAAGAAGGAAGAAGCTTGAAGACCTCCTCCATTTTCGTGCTCCCTTCTTCAAGCTTGAAGAACTCTATCTCCTTCCTCTCTTCTCTCCCCAAAATCTGATCCCAAAGTAGCTTATGAGATGTGTGGCTCTTATCCCTCTTATCTACCACCAAACTAGGCTCTCTCTCTCCTCCAAAAACATCCCCAACCACCTCATAAAAGAGGGCCATCCAAAATTGGAAATTTCAGAGCACAAGTGGGCTGTCTCGTGGAGCAAACTGCCCAAATTTCGAGTGCTCGAAATAGGGCCTCGAGCACTCGAATTAATTGTAAAAAGCTCCATGCTTCACTTGCTCCGCCCAGACCTACTTTGATGAAATGGCCATAACTTTGCGCTCCGAACTTCGAATGATGAACCGTTTAAATATTTGGAGAGCTGATTCAGAGCTTTAAAAACTTCATGTTTTGATAAAGACCCAAATCTCAAGTCTGGCTGGTCGAAAATGGGGAGAAAGGCAGTACTTCAGTACTGCCAGGCAGTTCTGCACACCTCTGGTAACAAGGCCATAACTCTCTACTCCGAGCTCCGAATGACAAACCGTTTGAAGATTTGGAAAGCTAATTCAGAGCTCTAAATCTTTCATGTTATGATGGAAGTCCAGTTCTTGAGTTTGCTAGGTCGAAAATGGCGACAAAAGTCAGGTTCCACTGCTGCCAGAAATTCAGCATTGTGACCTTTGATGTTTAAAACTCCACAAAGTATCCTTCTTGCTTCTTTTTGGCCAATGAACCTGAAAATATGCAAAAACGTGCATATGAAGGTAATCTACATAATTAAACAAACAATGGACTTAAATAATGCAATTAAGGGCGCTTGAATATGCAATATTCGGCGTTTATCATCCGTCCTCAAGTACAAAAAAATCTCGAGCGATGCGATCCATCCTCGAGTACCAAAACCTTGAGTGATCTGTCCTCAAGTACTAAAACCTCGAGTGATGTGATCCATCCTCAAGTACAAATACTTTGAGTGATATGATCCATCCTCGAGTACCAAAACCTTGATCGATTCGTCCTCAAGTACTAAAATCTTGAGCGATACGATCCATCCTTGAGTACCAAAACCTTGAGCGATCCGTCCTCAAGTACAAATATCTCGAGCGATGCGATACGTCCTCGAGTACCAAAACCTTGAGTGATCCGTCCTCAAATACTAAAACCTCGACCGATACAATCCATCCTCGGGTACTAAAACCAATGGCTACTAGCCTGACCCTTTAATTCTCGGACTTAGAAAGTTTGGAATCTCATCCAATACTTTCATTTCAAACGTTTCTCGAGTTACAACACTTAGAAACTTTGAAAAATAAAACATTCCAACCTAGGCTACTGGGCCGACACATCATTTATGCACAACTTGCCTTTTACCTTCTAAAAATTCCACCCATACAGGGGGACTATATAAAGCACTAACTGTGATACCCCCGGATTCCCGGATATGGGTTGGCTAGGCTCACGCCCGATTACCCGAGGATATCAAACCAATTAGTAATAAACAAACACAGAATACAATTAAGATAAACAGGAATAAATAAAATTGCTGAAAAGAAACTAAAATAATAATCCAGAAACTGAAACCTCATAATAAATTTTATAAATAAGAAATTATTCTGATACCTTCAACTTCTCCATTTCTAATACAACTCGGAAATCCATCTAGTGGACCTATAATAAAAATCTAACACTGAAACAACAACTGAAGAAAATCCAATGCTAAACCGTGAAGAAAACTCCTACGTCGTCGGAAGAATGAGTAGCCGTCTCTGTTCAGCACGAACAAGCTCTAAGACCTGGAACCATCCGTTACCTAAAAAAAAATAGTGGGTCAGGCCCACGAACAAGTTTTATCCTAACTACAATCCAAACAGAGACCCGATACACAGATACACCCTAAATGTCTCAACCATATCTATATAGTCCGTAAATAAATATATATATCCACACTACAGGACTCTCACTGGACTATGATGAGGGTCTCAACCTGAATAGAAGGTAACATACAAAACGCACCTGAGTGAGTATGACTACCTAAGCCTAACAGGGTATACCTCAACCAACATAGCCAGCTACGCATCTTACTGCATATACGCTCCCTAACCGTCGACTATAAGACTTAAGCTCATATCGCGGTACCATAATTATTTATATAAACTCCATCTAAATATAATTTTGTGTTGGTCAACTGTTCGTCGTCCAGACACGACATATAATTAAGATTTAAATGTTTTAATTAAATCCCTATCCTTCCTAATACAGAAATATAAACAACCATCCAATATGTCGTTCAACTGTTTTAGTTGACAGGACATGTAACCATGTAGGATTTAACTGTTTTAGTTAATCCATTTCGTATGTATGAATTGGTAGGAATTAGCGTTTTGATCTAATTCGCCCCTCCATATGCCACCGTCCCATACCGGTGCATATAATGTAAATAATCTATAAATGATGCAACACCTCATATAGTACATCAAATACTATCAACATAATCCATATAACTGATAAAACAGAATTTAAACAGTTCATCAACCAAAATCCAAAATAACATCCCTGTAAATTGCTAGAACATTATTTAATAGTTTAGCAAAGAGAATCCAAACATTTAATCCACGTAATTGCAGAACAGAGTTTTAATATGTCAGCAATTAAAATTCCAAAATCGTAATCCATATAATTGCAAGTTAAAGTTTAATACCTCAGCAATTTTAATCGAAAGTAAGCATAAAACAAGTCTGATAATTAAATGACTCTATTATGCATCCAGAACATGATTTATAAATCATACTACAATCCATTAAATTGTTAAAACAAAACTAAACAATTTAATCCTTTCTATCCATTAACAGTATGCAAGATCGGTTAAACTTTCCTACTGTTAAATCCATGAGCACAAAGACATTAATTATGCAAGGTAGGATCCAATACTGCATAATATGATTTTTGGAGTCTATGCTAAAGCCCATTAAATTATTAAAACAAAATTTAACAATCTAATCCTTCCTATCCGTTAACTGCATGCAAAATTGTTTAATTTTCGATAGAGTTCAAATTATTAGCATACAACCAAAGACTATACATCAAAGGGTTTTAATACACTCTGAATTAATATATAGAACCCTCATTAACATTCCAACACAACCACCTCAAAGCCAGCTCCCTAGACCTTAGAGCCAGCACTGTGAAGAGGGGAACCGGCTCCCAACCTCCTGGAGCTGACTCTCTTTCCCTCTCCGAGAGCACTGCTCCTCCTCGCTTCGTCTGCTTCGTTTCCGGCCGTTTCTAACCCATCTGTTCTTTATTTATATTGACCTTAAAAGTCTAATATGCATCCAGTATCATCCCAGTTATTCATTCCAACCAGTTTGCATTAAAAAAAACAACAAAAACAATTACCGATTCAATTATGTTTTAATATCAGACAATAAATTCCAACTTGCAAAAACAATTTCAGACACATACAGACGAGCAAATTAACATTTATTAATTATGCAAGAATCAGTTCATATCCGATTAAGATCCTAGAGATCATCCAGGTATGCACAGAACACAGGCCAACGGGAGAGAAACAGAATAGAACTTGCCTATGTGGTTTTTGAATAAAAACTTCGTCGCTGTCTTCCTAAGTTTTTCTGGTGATCGTGACTGCCGTCAAGGACTCCTCTGCTCCGGTTCTAACCCTCGAACAACCCTCAACCTTCCTCCTTGGTCCGGCTTACAATCCTTGGCCAGAACCCTAGCTTCTTCTCTCTCAGTTTCTCTATAAAAACTCTCTGTATCCTCCCGTCCCTTACTGCTGTTATAAGGGTTTTTCAAACCCTATTGCAGACCATCGTATATATTTATAATTTAAACAGAAACCAACCCTAGTCCTAATTGAAAACTAAGTCCGGAAAGAAAAATAAAAAAATATAATACATAATACTATAATGTCGTGATAAATAAATATATACATAGTTTATAATTATATATGTATATATCACCTACGAACCTAAACTACCATTATTAGTATTATTAATAAATAATTATTAATAAAAATAATACCCTATCCTTATATACGTATATACCCATATAAATCCATACAACCATCCATATATGGGTAAATATTCGTATCTACAATCAACTCTATTTAGATAGTCCATGAGACCCCTTTGGGTCGATCTATTACTACTATTCCAATTCATCCTTTTAAAATACATATTTAATCTAGCAAATAAACTTACAATTAAACACACACCTTAACAAAATCAATTAACAAATAATTCCACACAACACTTAATTCAATTACACATAAAACAGGAAACCATCTAAACACATAGCCACGTAAGCACCTAAAAATAATAAAATAAATAACTAAAACAATAAGGTAAATAATAAAATTCCAATTATATCATTTTTAAAATTAGGGGTATTACATTAACACTACACAGACCACATTTATGTTACAATGTTTCAAGCCGACCACTTGGCTTGTATACTTACTCATACTTCCTCATACCAGTACTGATTCGCACTCTACTGTGCTAGCACGAACTAACTCATGTTTGGCATTTGTTTCGTAGTGTTTCCTGCCATCTACTTGGCTTACATACTCAGTTGCACTCACTCGTGCCAGTACTCACTTGCACTCGATCATGCCAATACTCATTCGCACTCGATCGTGCTATCTCGAACTAACTCGTGCTTCTCATTTGTTTCACAGTATTTCACACCATTTACTTGGCTTACACTCACTTGCACTCACTCGTGCCAATACTGATTTGCGCTCGACTGTGCTAGCACGGACTAACTCCTGCTTGGCATTTGTTTTGCAGTGTTTCATGTCATCTACTTGGCTTACACACTCAGTTGCACTCGCTCGTGCCAGTACTCTAGCGCACTCGACCATGCCAGTACTCACTTGCACTCGATCGTGCCAATACTCATTCGCACTCAATCGTGCTAGCACGAACTAACTCGTGCTTCTCATTTGTTTCGCAGTATTTCACGCCATCTACTTGGCTTACACACTCACTTGCACTCACTCGTGCCAGTACTGTTTCTCACTTGGGCCAGTACTGATTCACACTCAACCATGCTAGCACGGATTAACTCCTGCTTGGCATTTGTTTTGCAGTGTTTCATGTTATCTACTTGGCTTACACACTCAGTTCCACTCGCTCATACCAGTACTCTAGCGCACTCGACCGTGCCAGTACTCACTTGCACTCGATCGTGCTAACACGAACTAACTCGTGCTTCTCATTTGTTTCGCAGTATTTCACGCCAGATACTTGGCTTACACACTCACTTGTACTCACTCGTGCTAGTATTGTTTCTCACTCGTGCCAGTAGTGATTCGCACTCGACCATGCTAGCACAGACTAACTCGTGCTTGGCATTTTTTTCGTAGTGCTTCCTGTCATCTTCTTGGCTTACACACTCATTTGCACTCGCCCATGCAAGTACTCTAGCACACTAGACCATGCCAGTACTCACTTGCACTCGCTCATGCCAGTATTGTATTGCACTTGACCGTGCCAGTACTCATTCGTACTTGACTGTGCTAGCACGGACTAACTCGTGCTTGTCATTTGTTTTGCAGTGTTTCATGCTATCTACTTGGCTTACACACTCAGTTGCACTCGCCCGTGCCAGTACTTTAGCGTACTCGACTGTGCCAATACTCACTTGCACTCGCTTATGCCAGTACTATGTTGCACTCGATCGTACCAATACTCATTCGTACTCGACCGTGCTAGCACGTACTAACTCGTGCTTGGTATTTGTTTCGCAGAGTTTCATGCCATCTACTTGGCTTACACACTCATTTGCACTCACTCGTGCCAGTACTCTAGCGCACTCGACCGTGCCAGTACTCATTTGTATTCGTTTTTGCCAATACTGATAAGAATCTCAAATGATTCCTCTCTTGCTGAGAGAATCATAACAACAAACATCATTTATGCACGACTAACCTTCTATCTTTTTCTAAGCTCACCCGCGCAAGGGGATTAAATGTAGGGGGTGGATTTAGCCGAGTCCATATGACTAGGCCACATCATTAACAATGGCTCACAAGTTAAACAGTCAACGGTCAAAGGTAAGTGGCATTTGCCATGACATTTATATAACCCGAATAGAAGATCGAGGACTTAAAGACCTGAGTTGAGAGCTGGACTCAGGATGATCTAGGATCTGAGGAGGTACTTGGTTTGGTAGCTGAAATGCATGGTCCGTCGAGTCAGCACTCGACCTGGCTTGTAGAGAGAGAAATACTATTTGACTCCGTTACAATTAAACCCATCTCATGTTAATGGGCCTATAGGTGATGTCATCATATACATCACCCAACTTTTCACCTGGCCTATAAAAGGAAATATTCCAAGGCTAATAGAGGTAGAACCAAAGGGGGAGAAAACAACCTCTAGACAGAGAGAGCTCAAAGTTCTCTCCCTCATGCTTTCTCTATACATCTTTATCAAAGGAATCAATAGTGTATCAGAACACTGTCATCTTTATACTCTCTCTTGATCTTGCCTGTGCTTTCACCTCTCTCAATCCACCTCGGATCCTATCTTGTCTGAATTATTCATATTTTGTGTTTTCGATATCACCCTTGCTACTTGTAGCACTACTGTAATAAAGAACTCTCACAAACTTTATTAAACTTGAGGAGGTGTCATGGTTAAAAAATATACCAACTTGTATATATTAAACTTCATAAATGTTATTTTCCTTATCTATAATAAAAATATTGTCCTAAGGATAAGGATAAGAATATTTTAGTTTAAAATTTCAATGAAAGAGAAGGAGGGTCCCATTTGGATTTGGATTTGGATTTGACTTTGGAATTTCGAATTCCACATTTTTTTTTTTGGGTCCCAACAATGGGGATGGGAATCGATCGCTATCACCTCGCAATTAAACCAAAGACCCTTATCACCGGACCAAGTCACACACCGGTGTCGCTGCTCAAAAGTCAACTAAATAATCTGGAAAAGTGGGATGCTTTCATGTATCCCAAACATGGTGCCACTTGTTGCTCTCGCCCAACACTTTGAGTCCTGACACTTCCATTGAAGCAATTTTTTCCATTCCCAAATGTTAAATATCTAAATATTCCTTAATTAATCTTCTTCACCGATCTCTCTCACTGTGTATATATTTTTGCATCTGCTGGAGCAATGCTGCAGTGGAACTCAGATTTTATGCATGAGACACACTCTGAAATCGGTTTTTTGTGTGGGGAAACAACTTTCACACATACATAAAAGCATTCAATCCTTCCTTAAGTCAACAGTACTCTTATAAATTAAGTATGATATATCATCCCAGTTATAATCAGTAATCTTAATTTGAAATTTAAAATTACAACCTCAAATATACTTCTCATTCACATTTACATAAATAAATTATACGAAACACTGATTAGTTCCCTTTCAAGAACAAAACAGTGGTGTGTATAACGGATTGGACAAAATGATAAGGTTAATTCCACGAATTATCAATTTATGATTGATTCTTGAGTTTTCTTCCCTCCACATCATCAACTTAAGCCAATTATAATCGTAACGTTGTAATTATAAGTAATCAAAGAGTAATACTATTAAGAAGACCTCATGATAACTATAAACTCTTCATATCTAATTAGTGAAATGAAAAGTGTATTAAATTTGAATTTTTATTGATATCAAAAAATACAAAGTTAATTATGTGGTTAAAAATTAAGAACTCTACTCTCCCAGTAACATTACTCCGTAATCAAATATGGAAAGCTAAACTTCTAGCTATTGTCACAAAAATTTCTACATTACCCTACAATAAATTTGAACCGACTAAACGTATTAAATATAGATGGTGCTCACACTGCCCATGCATTCATACTGTGACATGTCTTGATCATGAGGTCCGAGACAAGTTTCGGTGCTGTTATGCTTGTACTACTACTTCTCTTCGGTTGCAGTAACACTACCGATACCCTAACCCGCAACCGGTTCATCTCCGATGCTAAAGACGAAGTCCTTGTGTCCTCTAATGGTAATTTCAGACTAGGCTTCTTCAGCCCCGGGAAGTCTCCGAACCGGTACATTGGTATTTGGTTCAACAAGATTTCGGTGTTTACTATTGTCTGGGTCGCCAATAGAAACAACCCAATCAAGAACAAAACCGGCGTCTTCAAGATCGCCGATGACGGCAACATTGCCATCTTCGACACCGACAATGAAGGAGGGTTAGCGCTCTGGTCTACCAATGTCTCGGCAATTAGCAACTCGACCGCCCAGCTCTTACCTTCAGGCAATTTGGTTCTAATCGCAACTAACGGGTTGGACCATTCCAGCACAGTTGTTTGGCAAAGCTTTGATCACCCGACTGGTACGCTTTTGCCAGGAATGAAACTGGGGTTTGACCGGAGGAGAGGTCTGAACCGGTTCCTGACTTGTTGGAGGTCGGGTGATGACCCGGCACCCGGGAATTACTCATTGAAGGTTGATTTACGCGGCTCGCCTCAGTTCTTCTTGTACAAGAACTCGGCTCCGATCTGGCGCGACGGCCCATGGAACGGTAGGACACTCAATGGGATTCCCCCAAGTAGTTCAAGATTGAATTGGAGTTTTATAGACAATCAAGATGAGGTATGTAGCAACCTTTTTTTTTTTTTTCCTTTGTCCTTTTCTTTTTCCTATTTGGATTAAATTCACTTGCCTATGATTCTATTGTTAGGTATACTATTCAATCTCAGTAGCAGATACATCAACTTTTGAAAGACTTGTGTTATTCCCGGTGGGAGCAATCCTACGGGCAATATGGCAACCCCATGCAAAAGAATGGGCTTATTTTGTGGGTTCACAAGATCGTTGTGACGAATACTCGCGGTGCGGGGCGTCAGCTATATGCAACTCTAACAACACCGAAGATTGCACCTGTTTGCCCGGGTTCGAACCACAGGCTCCTCAGGATTTGTTCAAAAAGTGTGTGGAGAAGGAGAAGAGCCATGCATACACATGCGGGAAGGGTGGTGGTGAAGGATTCATAAAACTAACAGGTGTGAAAATTCCTGACGCTAGGATATCACATTTGTATAAGAATGTGAGCTTACAAGAATGTGAAAGGGAGTGCTTCAACCAGTGTAACTGCACCGGGTATGCTAGTGCTGATGTCAATGCTGGGGGACGTGGTTGCTATGCTTGGTATGGTGAGCTAAATGATATTAAACAGTACAATTTCAATGAAGATGGACAAGACTTTTACGTCCGGGTAGATGCCGTAGAGCTTGGTATGTACTTTAATTCACTGTATATATATTTTTTTCCCGGTAATCCGGAGACTTTGTCCAACTTGACTAATTCTTAGGACATCATGTAAAGCGTCCCTTTTACAGGAGTTGGGTAAAGTTTGGACTTTCACCTGTGAACGTGGCTTCAAGAAATTATTTTTACTTAAGGGAGTTAAACCTTAGATTTGATGCTTCATTAGGCGCCACTCACTCATCAGGCTCAAGTAAATAATCACTAAAGCCAAACCCTTTGGTTAATTTTTACCTAAATTAATTCTGTGCCAAAGCTTTGGTGATCAGATCTTTCCCTGCCAGGTTCTGGTCGTTTTTATTTTCGGATGGTCAGGTTCTGGTCTTCCAACTATTAAGAAATTGTTTTATACATTTTTTGAAACCCTATTGATATAACCCATACATAAAAATGGATATGTATATATACACCATACAAGGACCTTGCAACAGTGCAACTTGCAATCTCTGTTGTGTCTTATTTATTACTACAACTTACCATGAAAATGAGATTCTTCTGCTTGTTAATCAGCGGCAAATATGAGGAAGAACTCAAATGGTTTTCACGGGATGAAAAGGACACTTGTGATCATCTTCCTGCCGGTTGCTTTGGGACTCCTTCTCTTCATTTCTTGCTCTTATTTCTTCTGGAGAAAGAATGCCAAGAGGAAAGGTAAATTACAGAAACTAGCTTAATTGGTTGTACTTCTGTTTTTGTTCAAGAAGAAGAAAAAAAAAAAATTTAAATACAAACACCAGCAATACATGTTACAAGTTCGAACAAATGATAATTAACTTGAACTATGGCATGGAACTAAGGATATTAAACTCCCCCAGCCGTAGCTATACGTTTCTTCTAAAATCATCAAAATAGCACACATACTACAACAACAGGAGGCGTAGAAAATAATAATTCCTTAGATATTTTGAAATAGTTAAATAATACATAAACCAATAGGTTTTGTTCTAAAAATGTTATATCGGTACTCATTCTTTTATTTGTGTAAATGTATCATTGTATTCAGGCCTCAAGCAGAAGCAAAAAAATCGGGAAATGTTACTTTTGGACTCCCCCACTAATTTGACAAACAAGAATTCTCCAAATCCAAATAACCATGAACAGAGCGGGATGGTAGAATTGACATTCTATGATCTAGACACTATAGCAGCAGCAACAGACAATTTCTCTCTTTCTAGAAAACTTGGAGAGGGAGGTTTTGGGCCGGTTTATAAGGTAATCAAACTTTCACTAGGTAATTAAGATTTATGTGGTTCTTTGATCAGCAAACAACAGGCAAAAATAATAATAAACCAAAACGAAAACCTAGACTCAGTTACTTGGTACATTGAGCTCAATTTATCATTTTAAAAACCATAAGCGATATAGTTCATTACCAAGTATTGATCTGCCAGTGCGCGTGAGTTAAAGGGATGGTGAATTGGTACAAACCAAATCTCATGCGCTTTACCCCAAAAGGTCTCATACCAATTAGAGATGACACACTTACATATAAGCACTTCACCGACACACCCTCCGGCTGGATTAGACTCTGATACTATTTGTAATGACCCACTCCATCACATGGTATGATATTGTCCGCTTTGGGCCTGAGTCCGCACGGTTTTGCTCTTGTACTTTACCCCAAAAGGTCTCATACCAATTGAAGATGACACACTTACATATAAGCACTTCACTTTTCCTCTCCCAAGCGATGTGGGACTTGTGCACCCGTAGCTCGCCAGTGTGGTAGCATATCAGTGTCTCTCGCACCCGCCCACGACACACCCGCCCACAGGGTCATCACAGGTTTCCACTTAGTTTAAATTACATAAAGTTATCTTTTTACTTCTAAGTAACAATAACTTTTAGAGAATTGTTGCAATGAGGTTGATGGTTCTTCAAATCATAAATCTATTAAATCAGTGTTTGTTTTGAGTTAAATTCCACCAACAGGGTCAACTATCGAATGGACAAGATATAGCTGTCAAAAGGCTATCAAGGAACTCAGGACAAGGAGTCGTTGAATTCAAAAATGAGTTGTTGTTGATTGCAAAACTACAGCACAGAAATCTTGTGAGGGTTCTAGGTTGTTGCATTGAGAATGAGGAAACAATGCTCATCTATGAATATATGCCAAATAAAAGCTTGGACTATTTTATTTTTGGTATGAACCCCTTTGTTACATATATATATTGGAATGTATTTGTTATATTTACTTTTATTCCAGTTAACCATATGTTTATTCAAGTATATATATATGCATGATGAAATGCAAATTTAAATCAGATGAAACTAGGAAGTCATTTTTGGATTGGAAAAGACGACGTGAAATCATTGATGGGATTGCTCGAGGGATCCTTTATCTTCATCAAGATTCCAGGTTAAGAATAATTCATAGAGATTTAAAAGCCAGCAATATTCTTCTAGACAACGAGTTGAACCCAAAAATCTCAGATTTTGGTACTGCAAGAATTTTTGGAGGAAATCAAAGTGAAGCGAAGACCAAGAGAGTGATGGGAACATAGTAAGTGTCAAGCCACATAAATTCCAAGCATGTCCTTCATTACAGCATTTACTTTTTCTTTCGGTAAAAAAAAAATCACATTGCTATAGAATGAAGTTTATCAACTATGTTGCAATAGTCCTTGCTTAAGTTGGAGTACAAATTAGCTTTAAAACTATATTCTTTTCATGTTGTGGTATGCAGTGGCTATATGTCACCTGAGTACGCTCTAGATGGCCTCTTTTCAGTAAAATCTGACGTTTTCAGCTTTGGAGTCATAGTACTAGAGCTCATTAGTAGCAAGAAGAACTTTGGGTTTTTTCATGAAGATCCCTACTCAAATTTGATCAGATATGTAAGTAAAATATTTATAATTTGTTGATCTTCTATGTGTTAAAATTTGCCTTTTATTGTAACAGATTTCTCTTACGAGAATGAGTTAAAACTATTTTAGGTGTGGAAGCTTTGGAGCGAGGGCAGGGCCATAGAGATAATAGACCCTTCACTGGGTGATTCATGTCCCACGTGTGAGATCCTCCGATGCATTCAAGTTGGGCTTTTGTGTGTGCAAGACAGTGCCATAGACAGACCAACTATGTCATCTGTTATTTTCATGCTGAGTAATGAAACAAATCTTTCTTCACCAAAGCAACCAGTATTTACTATTCCAAGAAGTCAGAATAGAAAGTCCCCCGAAACAGGGTCATCTTCTATCAATGAAGTTACAGTTACCATGCTTAGTGGCCGATAAACTTACTAGGAATAGTAAGGACTTGTCATATATTTTATACTTGAAACCTGCTACCCAGACTACATATATTTGTTTTGGGAGAAACGCGAATGCACAACTCTGTGGACATGCTGTAGGTTGAATGCTTGACAGTAGATTTGTATGATGAAATGGTATATGCCAGAGCAATGTTTTGGCCTCAAATATAAAGGGGTGTATATTGATAATTACTTAGTACCTCTTCTTTTGTGCTTTATATATATATATATGGTAGCAGACACTGCAAACAAGATTTTTATGATAGCTGACACTGCTAGAACAAATTATACCTAAACTTTTCATATTTCCGAACCGATAGGTGAGAAAAATATATATTAATAAAATTCAAGGGATTGAGCATCATATATGCTTACCGAAAGCACCTCGAGGAAGCTGATCAAATCTTCACCAAAGATAGCAGTATACCAATTGAAATATGCTCCATGTCCGACAGACCTTTAATGAATACCACGCACCATTTACTGGAAGCTATGAACAGTTGACTGAGCATTAATATATATATATATATATAAACTTTGAATATATATATCCAGGAAATCAATTATAGGAGAGAAAAAGTAATACTAGAAATTGAAGTTTGGGAACGATTGAAAGCTATCAACCTTTGGAAAAACAAAAAATAAAAGAAAAGAAAAGAATTTGCATAGGGGTGTCAAAGTTGAGAATTTCAATGAAAGAGAGGAGCGTGGGGGCTCTCCCATTCGAGTTAGGGATTTCAAATTCCAAGTGTTTAACCAAGGGAAAGTAAAATAAGTAGTAATAAACAAAGACTACGGATTAATTATCGGAAAAGAGAGAGAAAAAATCTAACCATCACCAAAACTGAAAAATACCCACCTGAATTATTTAGGTTACACATCAAATCCTCATTTATACCAACATTGCAAAAATGACCCTCCCAATTATCGCATCCCATTTTTCTGCCCAGAAGATCAAAATTATCAAAATACCCCAACTTATTAATTTATATATAAATTATAAAATATCATAAATATGTAATACCTATAATACCCTTCAAGAGTCATCTTGCAACTAACTAATAGTTGAGAGAGTTTTTTACAATTTAACTAATAATAATAATAATAATAATAACTAATAATAATAATAATAGTACTAGCGGTGGTAGTAGTAATAATAATAAAAATTTAAAATAAATTACTTGATTAGTTGCTTGATGAATTCATATACTTATAAATAATTTTTGCAAGCTCATAAATTATCAAAAATAGATAAATAAATAAATTTAAAAAATGATAATAGTAAACATATATAAAAATTCGCACGTATATATGAAAATACTTTTGAAAATGAAAAACTAGGCCAATTTTCATTTGTCTTAAAATATCTTCCTTGAAAAATATATTTTATATAAAAAATTTTGAGATAAAATATATTTTTTAATTTTATTTTTCGGTATTTGGCAAAGGTCTTGAAAAAAAAAATTCCCGAACAAAAGCATAAGTTATTTTTTGTTAGGTTGTGGTAAATTATTTTACTCAGTAAATATTTTACTTAAATATTGGACAACCAAATACCAAAAAATAAAAAAATATTTTCCATCCAAACAAATGAAGCCCAAAACATGGTAATGAAAGAAAATATTAATGAGTTAATGTAACGCGTGGATTTCACATAAATTTGTAATTTATCTATTGGTCACTTTCTTTTTGCATCATTAGTTTGATATTTATTCGCGTGTATATATATATATATATATGTATAAATTATATGTTTTCTGTTGTACTTTTTATTTTTAGTCCGTTGCAGATATTACTATTTTTTACCCCCACAAAATACAGATATTACTATTACACAGTCAACTAAACTAGAACATCATTTTTTTTAATAATTTATAAGCTTACAAAAATTATTTATAGGTATATGGGATTCATCAATCAACTAATCAAGCAATTTATTTATTTTTATTATTATTATTACTCCTACCAATACTAGTACTATTATTATTATTATTATTGATTATTGTCTATTATTATTAGGCAAAATTACAAAAAACTTCGTGAACTATTGGTTAGTTGTAAGATGGCTCTTAGAGGGTATTATAAGTATTGTACATTTATGATATTTTATAATTTTTATATAAATTAATAAGTGAGGGTATTTTGATAATTTTAGCCCTCGGGGTGTCGAAAAATGTGATCCAAATTATTAAGAAATTTCTTTTTGTAACGTGATATAGATGAAGGCTTCATTTGTAATTCCAAACAGTTCATGAATGAATTTTTCACTTTTAGTGATAGCTGAAGAATTTTTTTTTTTTTTTTTCACACTTTTGTCTTAATTATTTTCGTCCCAACTCTTCAGTGGGCCTGCACATCATTGTTTTAAGACCAGCAGTTGTACCAGTTCATACAGGCTCTTAAAAGAGCTTACACAGACAGAGGCATTCAATGCACTCTAATGATCTTAAAAGTTGCGTTCTATGATTCATTTGTAATTTTGTATGCATGAAAAATAAAAATAAAAGATTAATTTGAATCCGGTCTTTTAAGTGGCCACAATATTATCACTTCACTTTAACATAATTAAGTCATAAATAATGATAATTTATAAAACGTAAAAATAAAAACGCACACCAAATGTAGGAGACACATATTAAAAAAATTGTATTACTTAGCTCAAATATTGGATATAATAAAAATACTTATTTATATATCTACTAAGTAAAACAATCTTAATTTAGTAAACACTTGCTATTTCCTAAACTAACAGTAACAGGTGGGGAAAAATATTTTGTTATTTTATAAACTAACAACATGTGAGGAAAAATATTTTATTAATCAAATTCAAAGATTGAGCATCAAATGCTTATCCAAAGCTGAACAAAAGAGATATCTCACAAGCAAGGATTCGGCATATTCTAAAAATCCTTAAAATAAGGATCAAGTGCAAAAAAATACCCCTCAACTATATTTACAGTGTATATCACACCATTTTCGTGCAAAAAACACTCCTCAAGTTTTAATTTGGTGCAATCAAGTCCTTCTGGCAAATTTAAAACCAAACTTGACTAAAATATCCTTAGTCAACAATTTTATAAAATATATAAAAATACAAAATTTTGTAAAAAGACCGAAAAGAACAATAAACAGTGACTCCTTTTGGACACCCAGAAACCCTATGCTTCGCAGCACCGGGCAATCGCATAATCTCTCATAATCACATACCTCATGTTCTGTTTTCTGAGTCATTTGGGAATTTTCATAATAGTATATGCAATTTCAAATTAGACAAGAGCAAGGGCTAAAGTAACAAGTGTGTTCAATTTGGGGAGGTTCGGCTAAAGGGGGATTCTACTGTGAGCAAAACCAGTTTCAGAAGCAACAAATGTGTCAGAATAGAACAGTGAGAGGTAGATGTGGTGGTGGTGGAAATCCGAACATGATGTTGTATCCTGCATCGTAATCACCTCCTCCACCTCCGGTGCCGGCACCTCCACCATGGTAGCCCAAGTTTCGCCATCCTCTGAGCTCACAACTCCGCCGTGGAGCTCACTGGATCTGATTCGTCCGATGCCGCAGATTGAGAAGTCGTCGTTGTCGACCACCGACTCGCCTACCTCTCTGAACCTGTCCCTGCCCGAATCCGATTCGTGTGAGGTCTCGAATCAAGTATTCGGATCCCATCAAGTCACGCAGCCTACCCAGTTGGCTCCATCACCACCATCACTGCCTGTGATTGTACACCAGTTGGCTCCACCGCCGCCGCCGATGGTGGCTCACAGTGGTCAAAACTTCGAATTTGGAGCTCCGACGACTGAGAAACAGTTCTTCAGTCAGGAATTCTTGTCTGTGATGCAATAGATGGTTTGAAAAGAAGTGAGGAACTACATGTTTGAGATTGAACAAAATGGGCTTCGTTTGTATGCTGAAGCAATCATGTCTGTAATTTGGGGAAAGAATTTGGGTGGTAGCACGACTGAAAAAAGATAAGTTTTTAGAGAGAAAAAAATTGTGGTTTTGGAGAGAGAATAAGTGGGTTCGTCGGTATTAGGGGTGTAGGTGATGATGTATGAGGTGAAGAAATAAAAGTGGAGAGAAAAATAGAGAACCTACCTAAAGATTTTTAGTTTGTCTTCCGTGTTTGTTGTGTACAAGTCTAATCCTCACATAGAATCTACTATTTTCTCTGTACAAATTCCTGCCTCCAGGGAGTTGGACGTAGAGTTAGACGTAGAGAGAGAAGAGGAGGACAAAATGATCGCAAAGGGCAGAGAGAAGGATGGGTATTTCCGAAAAACTAAAAGGGCATAATGGGTATTACAACAATATATTAGGTCAGATTTGTGACAAAGGGGTAATTTTACACAATTTCAAAAGATTAGGGGTGTTTATTGCACACTTTTTCAAATAGAGGATAAAAACACTACTCAAAGTATACTTTAGGGGTGTTTCTTGCACTTACCCTTTAAAACAACTAGTTGTTTACTTATACGTGTTAATTGGATCAAGGAAATAAAAAGTAATACATTTTTTTTAAATATATATATATTCAAAACTGATATGAAAGCAGTTAGAGCATTTCCAGTGGTCTGTTAAGAAATCCTTTTGTGTAAAATATATACTGCCACATATGATTTATAAATTTTTTTCATCTCCAGCCGTCTGTTAAGATACACTGCCACATCACCTATGTGTAAAAGGGTTGTGTATTTTACACATCTTTTTTACACAGACACGTAAGCATATTTTCTCTCTCCTCTCCCTTTCCCACTCGCGATTCTCTTTCTTCTCTCTCATTCCTTTACGCCTCTTTGTTTCCCACTTTTAGAGCGCCATAGAGAAGAATTTGCAACTGGGGACAAAGTAAGAACTGTTCAACCATCTTTTATTTTTCTTTTTTCTTTTTTTAATAAAAATATTTTGATTCATCATTTTCCCACTTTTAGAGCGCCATAGAGAAGAATTTGCAACTGGGGACAAAGTAAGAACTGTTCAACCATCTTTTATTTTTCTTTTTTCTTTTTTTAATAAAAATATTTTGATTCATCATTTTCATTTCATCTTATCTTCTGTAATCATCGTTGTAGATTTTAAGGTTTTTTTAGATTTTTTATCCTTTTACATTGTATTCTAATGAGATAAATATGTACTAGCCAAAAATTAGATATATATTTTAATCACGATTTTATATAATTGTTGCTTGATACAGTTATACAAATTATTATTATTTTTTTCTTTTTTGGTGATTAGTCAATTCAATCGCAATTGTTGTTGTATATTTTTTATTTCTGTAGAAAGTGAAATTATAGGGGGAAATTATTATTATTTTCCTAATTGAGGAGGATTGGGACATGAGATTTAATCGCAAAAAAGTAAATGAATCAAGTAAATTTGTAAAAGTTATGAAGGGCCTTGGGTATGACACATGATTGGTTGTTATTGGGGAATATTTTTTTACACAACAGATATTAAATAACCGTTGAAGCTAAAAATAGGTAATATAAAATATATTTATGTAAATCTAATTTGACAAGTCAGATTTACACAAAAATATATACACAACGGTTAGAGATGCTCTTACCAATTAATAACCCATAAAATATTGAAAAGATAAAAGTTCACACGATTGGTTTGTAAATGAATTTAATGCACTGGCATTGTTAGGAGATACAACGCATCCGTGTCATTATAATTAAACGTGTTTTTTTATTGCATTCTTGAGACCCGGCTTTTTAAAATGCTCTTTCAAAAGTCAAACGTTCTTCCCTTTCATAGACCCATTAAACCTGGGTTCGCAATCTTGGCATCGAGATCCGGCCACTGCCACCTCCAATCCACAACCCACAAGCTATCAATCAGGCGGTGGTTGAAGAAGAAGAAGAAGAAGACGGTGGTGGGAGGAGGAACTGGCGACACATAGTAGAGAAAGAATGATGGATATTTTTGGAAGACTAAAAGGGCAAAATAGGTATTAAGACAATAATTTAGGGGTGATTATTGCACAAAGGGGTAATTTTCATAATTTCAAAAGATTAGGGGTGTTTATTGCACATTTTTTCAAATAGGGAGTAAAAGTGCTACTAAAACTATTCTTGAGGGGTGTTTTCTGCACTTACCTCTATTTATTTATGTACCTATTATTTAACAAAATTATAGAAGTTAATTACGAAGTAATTTGTATTTTTATTAAATATTTGATATTTTTTTAATGTCAAGTTTTAAAGAGAGAATGTCAAATATTTGTTTTAATATAAAAATAAAGTATTTAACATGAGTTGATCATTTGTCAAAGAACTCGGCTCCGATCTGGCTGGCCGGGCCATGGAACGGTAGAACACTGAATGAGATTCCCATAGTTGAAGGATTTAGTGCTTACGAATTTGAATACTCCAAAGTAGCTGGTTTCTTCAATTAGAGTTTTATAGACAGTGAAGATGAGATATGTAACAATTTTTAATATTTTTTTGGTTTTTCCTTTTTTCACTCACGTGGGCAAAAATATTGCAAAAATAACTTACCAATGACCATTACCATTATGATGGAATTGTTAGGTATACTATTCAATTTCATTACCAAATACTTCAACATTTCAAAGACTTATGTTATTACCGGTGGGATCGGGCAATATAGCGAACCGATGCCAAAGAATGGGCCTTTTTTGTGGGTTCGCAAGATCGTTGCGATGAATACTCACAATATGGGGCTTCAGCCATATGCAACAATTACAACACGATGCAGTGCACTTGTTTGCCTAGGTTCGAACCGCAGTCCCCTCGAGATTGGTTCATAAAATGTGCGGAGAAAAAGCAATTGTACACATGTGGAAAGGGTGTTGGTGAAGGATTTATAAAACTAGCAGGTTTGAAGATTCTGGATGCTAGGGTATCCCAATTGCATAAGAATGTGAGCTCAGAAGAATGCAAAAGGGAGTGCTTGAACTTGCACGGGGTACGCTAGTGCCGATGTCAATGTTGGGGGACGTGGTTGTTTTGCATGGTTTGGTGAGTTAAATGACATTCAACAGTAAATTTACAACTTCTTTGGGTTATTTTAGTCTTTTAATTTAATTCTTTAAGCTAAATGGTTGGTTTGACAATTCAAAGGGTGATTAAGTCATTTTACGTCGTGTCAGAAATGTTCAACTAACGATTGGGGTGTTAGTGAAAAACGGAGCAAAAGTTTGTGATGTGAGTGATAATTATTTTTGAAAGATGTTTGAGGATGATATTTGGCCGAAACTGAGGGGGTGTCAGTGAAATTAACCCTTATTATAATCACAAAACCTTTCTGTACTTTCAAAATTGTGAATAAAATCTCTACTATAATTTAAGAACCCCTTAGAACTAAAAAAAAATTATCAAATTGCCCCTATATTCGTAACCGATAGGGGTACACACGGTCCAATTTGGTACAGTTCTTGATGGAATCAAAACTGAACCATTCCCAATGGTTCCTAAAAAATTGGAACCGGAACCGTTGGGACACGGAATTGAACCGTGAAGACCTGTCCGGTTCGATTCCCATTATAAAATTTTAAAAAATAAATTGTTTACTTTTCAAAAAAAAAAAAAGGTTATACTTTTGATATGTTATTTAAATTAATGCATAAATGTTTATTGAAAATCACATCCATTCCGTCTAGTATGTCTAACTCACTTTAATAAACATTCTTATTGTTACAAGAACCTGAAGATACAAGAAAAATTTTCTCTCAATTTGGAAAGAATAATTATATACTTCAAAAATATTTCGATCCCATTTCCCTCTATTTTCAATCTATTTATAGATTGTTACAAATCTTTTAAAAGCTTCCTAACTAACTCCTTGCGTTAGGCTGACCTTCTGGGCTTCTCTTGGTTATGGGCCCAATTCTTTTTATCTGAAATTGGGCTTCCAACATGATTTCCCGGTCCTGGGCTTAACTAGTGAGACTTGGTTCGGAGCAATTGCTCTTTCCCGACCCATTCTTGGTAATTTGGATCGTGCTTGGCCCAGTCCATTTTTGGTGTCTTTATCTACGCCCATAATCTCTCCCTAATTAATTAGGGTGATATTATCGAAAGGACATAATCATGATGTGACGGCTCGTGGTGATGACGTGGGGAAACGAACGGTTAGTTCAGAGAACGGCGCTTTGAGATTTGCTGCATTATTACTGCCGTGGTTTCTTGGCCGTTGAGTTATTTCCTCTTTAAAAACCTTAGCATCCCATTACTTATCTTTCTTCTATCTCTCTCACCTTCATCCTCAAGCTCCATCTTTTTCAATTATCTCTGTTAACCTCTAGTCTCCTCCGACGAACTTCCTTTGTCTTCTCCGGTGAGTTTCCCCTTCACGATTCTTTAACTTTAAAGGTGTACTCTACAAACTTCTTTTCCTAGGTTAGTTCATTTCTCTTGCTATTTTCCTTAGAAAAGAGAAAACTTAAAATTAAAAAATCCCCCCTCTTCAATAGCTCCCGATTTGGATGTTCTTCATTCGAGGAACAATATTCCTAACAATGTTTCCCTTCGAGTTTACCCTACAAACCTAGACGAGAAATCCGGGGAGGGTTTCCTTCCTGGCGAGATCCTATTTTCGGTTTTCCACTTAAATGTAATTTTCCTCTACACCCGTTCTTCTGTTATGTCTTTAGCCAATTAGGGTTTTCCCCTCTTCAAGTCAATCCAAACTTTCTTAGGGTAATATCAGTTCTGCTGCTCCTGAACCGTGACAGGAACCTAGATCTAGACATCATAGATCTTTGTCTTTGTTATAGAGTCACTAAAATCCGAACCACCGAGATGTACTTTCACTTCTTTCCCATTGAGAAACGGTTCATATGTATAGACAAACTTTCATCTAAAAAGGGTTGGAGGAAAAACTTAATCGGGATCAGTGGAGATTGGCGAACTCTGCTCGGTCTGACTTTCCCTATCCCAACCGTTTTCGGAGAGTGCTCTGTCCCTCTGTATAAGAAATATAAAAAACATCTGACCGATTGCCCTTGTGAAATTTGCCTTCATTGTTTCTGCATTTTTCTTTGTCATTGACTTCACATTAATCATGATGAATTGGTTTATAGCGTTTGCAAGGCTAGACTTAACCTTCTGGGGGAGAGAGTTCTGAACGACATCCCTTCTGCCACCGACCTGTTCACCCCGAACAACCTTTATGACATATCCATTCTCGGAACCACCATGGAGAATGTCTAGATTCCTTTTTTCAACAGGAGGAGGCGTTCTGCAACCACTCCCACTGCTGCACCAATAACTTTTGTGGCCACTTCGACCGTCCCAGTTGTGGCTCAGAACGATGAGCGGCCTACCACTGAACCTTCATCATCCATCTTGGCTGAAACTCAACCTGT